TAAGCCACTGTGCTGATGGAGCACAAACTAGGCCTGTGGGCTCCGATGAGCGCCGAGCCGACCAGCAGAGGGCGTGACGAGGCACGCTCTGTTTTGGGAGGCCTTGTGGAGAACCTGGGGCCCAGTTGTGGGTCCGCCCCTTACAGAATCACCATCAGGAGCTAGGCTGAGCTGCGGTAGAGGACTGAAATTTTCCAGAATCTTCTACTCAGGAAGGTCTCTGTCATATCTCAGCCAAAGTAGGAGCCCCTGGTGCCAACAATAATGTTCACAGCCAGCAGGAGAAGTGTGAGAGCTTCTGTAATGAAGGATCGCAACAGGGATGACATTATTCAGAAATATTTTTGTAAAAGTTTTAGGAGGAAAGCAAGCATGGTGTTCTGTGAGCGCGGGATGGCAAATGGCTGTGCTGGCTGTGCTGGCTGTGGCCCACTGAGCACAGGGATGATGCCCGTCGCCATTTTCCACCCAGTAAAACACAAAATCTATATCATTGCTGTCTCTGCTGGCCAGCCCCACAGGCAATTACAGCTTCAACCGGCCATTTAAAAATACAATATTGAAATAAACAGGAAGCTAGCTATTGCTTATAAGATCCTCGTTCAATGTGTTTGTGCAGTTTATCACTCTTGTAGACAAATGTTGGGAACAGTGGTGTGGACCGAGCGAGCGTCTGAAAGGCCACAGGGGTCGTCCCTGCTTCCTCGGCTGATTGGCCCGCCTGGGATTGGGCAGGACGCCAGCCAGGAACCTCTGTGTCAGGCGGTAACCGGTAACGTCCATTAAACCCGCTTTACGACAAAGCTGTAAAATGCCACGGCAGCGTCGGATTCCATGCCTTTTATGTTGCCGTGTTTTTCTTAGAAGCTGTTCCGTTTATCATGGGCAGGAAACCGTAGGGTAGCCCACACTCGACGGTATGTAATGATCCCAGCGGGCGAATGCTGCTTCTTAAATGGCCAAACGATGAAAAAGGCAAATAAAAATAGCGTTTTTTCATGTTTTTTTTTTTTAGAGTACAGCATACGTGTGCATCGTGCTTACATAACAACTCAGTAAAATACTTAAAAGACTTAAATAGGTCACGACACAGTGTCTTTTGCTGGTTCATGTGATTAATGCGAGGTGAAGGTCACCCTGCGTGTCACTGAACACGCATCAGACATGAATGTTAAGCGATGGCGAGAGCACGGGAGGCACAGAGCGCAACAAATTTGCCCACAATACAAAGACGGCTCACAAATGCGACCGCGAGTCCTGCAACCATCCTGGGATGCAATTAGGTCACAGAACCGCTGATCCGAATGTAGTGGACTCCCACAGAGACCGCATTTTCACTTGTACGATTAACCGCCATGCCCAGGTCTGGTTACCCCTCCCCGTGACTCCGGCCCCCGGCTCCGGGCGGCTCCCAGAGTAACAGTTATCGTCGCGTTCCACACGGCATGCCTTTGCTGACTGCCCGCGGAGTGAATCCTGTCAGACGCAATTGATTTAGCCAGGGAAAGGTTCCAATAAAAGACATTAAATCCCCATCAATCCCACTGCTGACAGAGAAGCTGTGTGGACCCCATGTGTCTGATTAATGTTTAAAAGACTTTCTCACCCAAAGGGTTTCCTCAAAGCTGTGTGTGACAACATCAAGGACTTGGAAGATGAACTGTAGAGTCGCCATCGTCCAGGCGTCTGGATCACCATCCCAGTTTGGAGACCTTCACAAGTTTGTGTTTCCTACTCAGCCAATGGGGGCTTTCAGGGTAATTATTCACTGTTACTTAGTCGCTGTGGAATGCATGTGCCTCTCGCTAACACACGTGTCACGGGGATTTTCCAGTCAGATCACAATTTTATTTTAGTTTCCCTGTTGATGTATTTATTTTTTAAATTGAATTTAGGGGAAAAAAAGAATCTGCAGAGCTGAAGGATGCATCATGTAACAGAAAGACCCAAAGGCTCAGCAACGTGTGGGCTGGCTTTGTCCTGTCAGATCTCATCCTTAGTATGGATGCTAATGGGGGAATGGAGCCCATGGCACTGAGCATACGGAGATCACTCAAAGGGCCAAAATAGAAGGTACACCTTGCAGTGTAGTACGCAGGGAACAGGAGCGTGACCTTCGAGTGCGGGGGGGCGGGG